TGTAAGAGAGTTTTTAGAGAAAGAACTTTTTCTTTTTGGTTTTTCAAGACAGGGTTTCTCTGTATTGTTTTGGAGCCTGTCCTGGAACTCGCTTGGTAGACCAGACTTGTCTCGAACTCACAGAGATTCGCCTGCCTCTGCTTCCCCAGTGCTGGGATTAAAGGCGTGCACCACCACCAACACCTGGCTGGTACAAACATTTCTTGAAGAATAAAGACCCATGAGAGGAACATGTGCGTGAGCCGGTTTATTTCCTTTTGACCCTCAGATCGGAACTTTTTAGCAAACCCCAACCTGCCTGCTGTAAGCCTCCTCTCTGAACCCCTGATAGAATCCCATTAGGGACTCAAGGCTTTCAAAGGCGATGAGTTACAATGCCAGCCTACGCTTTTCTGTTGCGACTAGGCCTTTGTGTCCAGCTAATTTTGTCTGCATGCACCCTAGTGGTGTGAGTTTGCACAAATCCCTTCAGCTCTTGCTGCTGCTTCCTCATTTGCAATTAGGGATCTTTATGGGTTGGCAGGCAATGAGTCAAAGAAAACTGCCTGCGGAAGAGAAGCGTCCCACAAGTAACTCCAGGGGCTCCTTTGCCTTTCATGTGGGACTGCATTGATTCCAATCACAACACTCAGCATAGCACCGGGTGTTAAGCTCATCCTCTGGTGGGATAAAAAAAAAAAAAAACAACAAACAAACGTTCCCCGACTCCACCGAAACCAGTTTGAAGATGTGGGACAGTGAGTGACTGTGGACTTGGCGGGTGGGAGTCACAGGCTGCACTGAAAATGCTTCCTCAGACTTATGCCCTACTTGGGGCTTCTTGTCTGCCTGTTACAGTTTAAATGGTGTCCCCCAGAGATAGGACAGCATCGTAGCCTGTCTTCTCATGTGGTCTTTGGAGACTGTGTCTCTACATCAAAATGGGTCACCTGGGTGGGCTCAGCCGGCCTGGATGCAATTGACCTGGCTGGTGTCCTTTTAAAAAGGACTTGGACCCAGAGAAACAGCCTTAAGTGCAGGTAGGTGAAGGCAGAGATGTGGTGGCACTTGCTCAGTGAAGGGACCTCAGAGGCGGCCAGCGCGGCTGGGAGATGCCAGGAGCAGGGTTCGCCACAGCCCAGCCGCCCGCACTCTGGGTTCCTTTCGGAATGACTTGGCTAGGTGGTCCCGCTGCAGGGATGCGGTGCTTCTGCAGCTTTCGTCTCCTGGGGTCCTGGTCCTGGGGTGTTTAGTTCCAAAGTACAAATCGCCTTGACTCTGGAAGGCCTTTTCTTTCCCCTCCATCTCCCATGACTCCACCTCGAGCCAACTCCAATCACCCCAAACTATGGACTGCTCCCCAGTGGCCTTAACCCCAGCGACTGTCTTAAATATCACCGGTTCTGTCTGCCGGGCCTGCTCTCAGCGCTGCTGAGCTGAACTGAACTTTAACCCTGTTATATCAAGAGTAGCCGTCTTGACAGATCAGGCCACGCCCTCTGCGGCCTTTCTCCAGGTACAGGTGTGAGGAGCCGACAGAAAAAGCCTGCTGCGACCTTTCCCCTGCCACCTGGGAACCAAAAAACCACCCAGCCACAGGCACATGCTGTGACCACATCAGCCGTGATGCATGGGACCTCCCTCACAGACCCCCAACGCCTGTAATTCTGACAACTCGCTTTGTCCAACACGGAAAACAGAAGCCTCCCTGGTTTTGAAGGCACAACACTGTGACGTTAAATAACTCCCCTAAAATACCTTATACCCTGAAAGATAGGTTCCCTCAATACCTTCTTCTCAAGCCTCTATTCTGTGTCTGACTCACTTAACATAAAGGAGAATGATTCTAGCTCAAGAATGTCTCTGAAATCTCAGCACAAAGGACGCCAGAGGGCTGGATGGTGGGGAAAGGCAAAGGGGGGCTGGGGACTCTGCCTTCCGGCCTTGGCTTGAGCCTAGGGCAAGGACCTTACTGGCACACGGTTGTCTGTATGGGAGGCAGACTCACAGAGCTTTGCGTTCTGCACTCCCGGGCTTGGTACCCATTCCTTCCTCTTCTACTGCTGGAGTTTTCCCCAACAACTTCTACCCAAAAGCCACGACCTTTCCAAGCTCCATTTTCTTTCATATATATATATATTTAATTTAAATTTAAATTAGAAACAAGGTTGCTTCACATGTCAATTCCAGGTCCCTCTCCCTTTCCCTCCCCTCTCCTGTGCCCTCCAACCCCCCCCCCAGTATTCCCTCATTTCCCCAGGGAGGGTGAGGCCCTCCATGGGGGTGTCCATAGTCTGTCATTTCATCCAGGGCAGGGCCTAGACCCTCCTCCAAGAGTCCAGGGTGAGAGTGCATCTCTCATTGTTGGATGGGAGCCCAAAGTCCATTTGTAAACCTGTTTCACGACAGTGGGCATTCCGAGAGAAGAGTGATTGACAAGTGACTTTTTCCCATGATGGATTTAATCAGCGGGGAAAGTACCAAACAGCCCTGTAGGTCACAGGAAACTGACACACAGGATCATAGAGTCTAGTAGAGCATACGTTCTCAACTGGCTGGACCTGCAGACAGGTGTGTCCTTTCTGATCCATTTTGTCATCTCCCCTGTGTCCAGAGAGCTGGTCGATGTCTAGCACACGAGGGAATCAGTTAAGAGAAAGCTACTTTGAAACTCTGACCTTGGAAATTCTTTCTCCTCCTATTCCTCTTTTAGTTATCTATGTAAACACAGGCGCATACCACAAATGGACCACATACGTGTCCATCTCCTGGTGACATCAGAGACGCCTTGGTCTCTGTGAGTACCCTCCAAGAAGTTCCCATTACACCCAATCAGCTGACAATGCACGTCTCAGAATATCCCCATCCTAAGGGTGCAGTTATTCTCTCCACCCTAATCCCACTTCCAGGAGGAAAACCCAGGCCCAGGGCGTCTGTGGTTCGTGATGAGGAGGCCTTCAGGCTGTCATCATCCTGCTAATGTCCTGACAAAATAATGTGCTTTCCAGCCAGGCGTTGGTGGCTCACACCTTTAATCCCATCACTCGGGAGGCAGAGGCAGGCGGGTCTCTGTGAGTTCGAGGCCAGCCTGGTCTACAAAGTGAGTTCCAGGACAGGCTCCAAAGCCACAGAGAAACCCTGTCTCGAAAAACCAAAAAAAAATGTGTTTTCTAAGTTTATGGAGGCACATTCAGTCCATGCCTTTCATTTCTGGCCTCCCAAACTCCTAAAGAACAAAAGCCAACACATTTATTCTATCTCAGTAGCCTTGAAAGTCTGAATTCATTCTGGAATTTACTCTGAAGTTAACTTTGAAGTCTTACTTAAATGTTGCCTAAGGAAGATGTGTGTGAGCTGACAGGGATAGTTCATCCTGAAGCAAGGTCCTTTCTGACTGGACTAGGAACCGCGGAAGCTATGTATTCCAAAATACAGTGACGTGACCACCACTGGATAGGGCAGAGACTGTCATTTCATTGGGAAGAAACCAAAAGGAGGACAAGGGAGATGGGTTCCAATCTCAGCAGGGTACACTGCTAAGACTAGGGAGTTTCTTTGGTTGGATGTTCTGCCTTCAGGCATGCTAAGGTGATCCCCAATGTTCTTCCAGGTGGCCTGTGTCCACCGTTGGCACTGAAACAATGTCCCCTCCTCTCTCCTCTGTACCAAGGCAGCCCTGGCAGTCTCTCTTAGGTCCTGCTTTCTTTCCTGTTTGGAAGAACATGTCTACAGCTGCATAGCTCCATGGTTAGGCGAGCAGGACCTGAGACACCCACATGCTTCCTTTATTTCACCCTGGCTCCTTCGGTACAGATGGGCAGTGCTTCTGTTGGGGTGGCTGATTAGTGCCTAGGTTCACACACACTTATCAAGGCCGTTCATGCACACACTTATCAAGGCTGTTCACACTTCCACTTACCGAGGCCGCTCACCACACCCTTGCTGCTCTCTTCCTGATATGCCTTTATTATCATCATTATTAATTTTTTTATAGTATTGTCAGGTTATAGCCACATCTTTAAGACCCGACTTCCTTTTCGTTTGTTTGTTGTTTGTTTTTGGTCTCACTAACTACGTAGCCCTCGTTGGCCTACAACTCATAATGTAGACCAGGCTAGCCTTGAAATTCTGAGTGCTGGGGTCAAAGGTTTGCACCACCACACCCAGATCAATTCATCACTCCCTCCCTTGAATCTGCTATAAGCAGCCAGGAAGAACCAAACCCCTTCAACATTTGCTTAGAAATCTCCTGAGCTAAATAACCAACTGCACCACTAGCAACTTCCACCTTCCACAAAATACTAAAACTGTATACTAATACTAAGACACCTCAGTCTGGATCTTTACTGCCTCACGCGAATTCTCTCTCCATTGTCCAATATAACACTCCTTATTTCTCTGTGCGACCCCACTTTGTCTGACAAAGTCCCAGCATTTCCACGTTGAAGATCAGCCCCCTTTTACTTTCATTTTTAACGATTATTAATGCTTTTCCCCTTGGGAAATTTTGTGTGGGCTTTAGTAAAGGGATAAAAATATGTACGATGGTAACCTCTCTAAAGAAGATAATTATTTGGAAAAAATCCCCTCCACCCCAAACCAGATTCCAAGAGCTCACCTAATTACACCAAGAACAGGAAGGTTAGAGATTTACTAGACACACCTGGTCCCAGGGATAAAATACCTAGGGTTCACATCCACAGCCTGAGGCCATTAAGGGCAAGAGTTCAGTTAATAAGCACAGAGAAATCAGACAGGTACGGTAAAAGGGAAAAGCCATCAGGACCTTCCCTTTTTAGCAGCGTAGTGAGCAGCCATTCTTCTTCCAGCAAGAGGAGCTTGTGGCCCTCCATTAACACATGAGTGGTGCCTACTGTCAAGGTCAATTCCTCAGCTCCTGATCTCAAGCCACACCCCAGCTCACGTGCCCCTTGTCTCCGTTTAATCCTATGCACAGCTAGGCAGTATAAACACGTAATCTTTTCTCAATTAAAGGCTGCGGTGCTGGGAGCCAACCTGATTCACCTTCAGATGGTATCCAGTATCTCCCCCGGCCCCCACTCCACACATTCACTTTGGAACCTGAAACCCCCTCCCTGCCACCCCTCACCAAGCCCGTCTCAGGCACCTCTCCCTAATTTCCCTTCCAACCCATAGTACACGCCTCAAAAACTTCTCCAGCCTCCACCCAGTTAACTGGTTCCTTGGCTTTAGATGCTTTTGACAGTAAGTACCCCCCCCCACACACACACTTCTCAATACAACCTCTAGTTTGGGGGCTGTTGTAAGAGTCCATGGCATGAATGACTGGAGCAACAGGCATTTATTTTCTCCTCTCAGTGTTGGAGGGTGGGAAGTGGAATATTCAGGATATTTAATACAGCCCTATTTTATCTAAGAACTAGTTTACACTTATTTATTTGTGTGCATATCATTCCTGTGCGTGCAAGTGTGCCTCGGAGTGTGTGGCCATCACAGCGCAACCTTACGGGAGCAGTTCCCTCTTCACCCTGTGAGTGAGAACGCCAAGGCTGGTTAAAAGTGCCTTTGCCTGCCCCCCCCCCCCCCCCCCGGTTTATTAAACTGCTCCCTGTGTTCTCACCAGAAGAGGGAGTTCTGATCTCTCTTTGATAAAAATGCTAATCTCACCATAGTGGGTCCAACTTCACACCAAGGGCTCTACCTCCAAATAGCATCACATCAGAGGTTTCAGCCGTGGCATTTGGTGGAGGCGTATATTTAGTCCATAACAACACCCTTTACAGAGAAAAGGCTTCCAAATACACTCTGTGCGTTTGGGGGGCATGTTTTAACACAGGCTTTGTGAATGACGTTTCATTCTCTCATTTCTTTTTTTAATACTGTTTTTTCTTTTCTTTCTTTCTTCTTTTTTTTTTCAATGCTAGGTGTCAAGCACAGGATCTTGTTTATGCTAGAGAAGAGCTCTGCCATTGAGCTTTATCCCAGCCCTGCACTGAGGGACCCAGGGAACTGGGGGCAGGAGGACAAGCCCACCCCACGTCTCCCACATCACTAGTGTCGGCCTCCGGCATAGGCCTCCCCAGGCAGGTACACAGCCCCTCTTTTGAAAAGAGTAGCTCCTGGCTCGGGTGGGCAAACACTAGGGACCGGTCAGAGCCGACAGTGCTGGCCCTCCTGGGATTTAGAGCTGAGCAGCACACAGTCACCAGGTGATGCAAACCTTCACCTGTTTGTTCTTCAGGCTTGTACGTCTGGAACATTCTGTGTTCCTTCTGTCACACTGTCATGGTGGCTCCTCTCCAGCTGCCAGGTCCAGGTTAGGGTGGTTTCCTTTGCATACAAAGTTCTAGTTCTCTAAATCTGAGTTCTAAGTGTTCCAAGAAGGCAGCACCCACCTCCTCTAAAGGCCACGTCAAAGGAAAAAGTGTTAACCGCTGTGTCTGTCCCCTGTATCTAACTGTGGCCCGCTTGTTTCCTGCAGGGAGAAGACAGCGTCTGGACATTACAGACGTATGTACCAAGAGCAAGAATGGTGACTGAAAACTTGTACTTGAGACTTGGAAAACAATGGGAAAGGTCGTTATTAACATTCCCACCTGCTGGACTATGTTATGTCCTGCTCCCCAGTCTTAGGAGCAACAGCAGCCCCATCCCATTCTCAGTGCTAATAATCTCCAGGAAAAGTCTAGAGGCTGTGTGTGAGCCCTGGCTTCACTACTCACTAGGTGGGTGTCCCTTCCTGGCCTCCGTTTCAGCGCGTGTAGAACACGGAGAAAAGCGGCCCTTATTTGATAAGATTTCTTTTCCCCCTGAGGACTAAACCGTTAGGAGGCTTGTAGATCCCCAGGATCTGTGAGCAAAACGGCTCCCTACTAGCCCTCTCAACTCCAGTTGTGTTCCTCTGGCCCTCTCTAAACCTTTGTTGACTGATCTGTAAGATGGGAATGGGAATAAGGACAGTAAAACTGCACCGTAATCATCAGTCATGTCTATAGATGAGGATGGACGTGCGCACTCAGCACGCCAGGGCTTCTAGTGCAGGTTCATCCGGCACCTTCTCTGATCTCAAGCTCCTGTGAACCGCGGGACCCCTTTTTCTGAGCATGTTAAGAGGTCCATAGACTAGAAAAACCAGGGAGGGTGTCTACCACCAGGAGCTGGTGGTGAGCGACTTGGGGGGTTTGCAGTCTGGTTATTTCCAGGAAGAAAATATAAATTTCTGCCCAGGAGGCCAGAGCCCAGCGGCAAGTGAGTTATCTCCAGGCCGGCTTCCTGCTCCGATAACGGCAGCAACAGCGGCCCAGGGCACCAAGGCAGCCTTAGCTCGGCCTAGGACTCGGTAGCCGCGCCCCGCCAGCCTGGAGGCAGTGAAGTGACTCTAGCCCACATCACTTCACCCTCCCGGCCGGCACCCGAGGGATCACCCCTTCCAGGGACGTTATTCCCCCCACTCGCCAAGTCGCTCCCACCTGCGAGGTCCTCCGGGTCAGGTACTTACTCTGCAGACAGCGGGCGGCGGCCACCCAGAGCGCGAGCAGCCCCAGCGGGATGCCGCGGGTCCTCCTCCGGCTCCACGGCGGCCTCATGAACGAGCAGCAGGCTGTACCCGGCCCGCATGGGCCTAGGGGAAGCGGCCGGGCAGACTGCTCGCCCTCGGCGCCCCGCAGAGCACCAGCCTGGCCTTCCTAGCCTCAGCTCTGCCGCTCTGCTCTGTTCTGCTCTGCTCTGCGCGTCCCAGCTCCTGCCGCTGTTCCAGCGCCTGAGGTAGATGAGCAGGTTGTACTCTGGTTGAACCAGTTCCCAGGAGAGGGGGAAGACAGGAGGAAGGGGAAAGGGAGGAGGAGTGAGAGAAGGAAGGACTGTGGATCTGGAACGATATGGGATAGTGGGAAGGCTCGCACTCAGAAGCACTAATGGTAAATAATGAGCAATTTCCTGAGAGTCACACCCACTGTATCAATTCAAGGTTCAGTGCAGGGAGGTGGCTCCCAGACAGGGCTAGTGCTAACTGTTTTCCAAGGACCCAAAGAGACAGTCTGAAGGCGCTCCATGGGCGAGTGGAGAATTTTAGGAAAGCCAAGTGACAGTCTGGGGTGTGAGGAGTAAGGGGCGACAGACAGGAGACTCAGGCTGGCTGTGTGGAGTATATGGACAGTGATTCCACCCACCCATCCATCCACCCACCCACCCATCCATCCACTCACCCACCCACCCACCCATCCATCCACTCACCCACCCATCCACCCACCCATCCATCCACTCACCCACCCATCCACCCATCCATCCATCCACTCACCCACCCATCCATCCACTCACCCACCCACCCACCCATCCATCCACTCACCCATCCATCCATCCACCCACCCACCCATCCATCCACCCACCCACCCATCCATCCACTCACCCACCCATCCACCCATCCATCCATGAGAGGGCTCTCAAAGCTGCTTGCTGCACAGAACCCAGCACAGGTGGGCGTTTTGGTCCCTCACAGGACAGCAGTGGAAAGCTGTCCAGCACTGAGGTACACTAAAGATACAACCGTACTGACTTGGACAGTCCCTAGAGGTGGCCCACACCCGTAATCCCAGCATTCTGCACGCCACAGGAGTGACTGGGTACTTAAGGAACCCTGGCAAAGGGAGGGACCTGGAAACAGTGACCAACTACTGTGTAGTCTGCCTGTTCGGGTCAAACGGAGGAGCCAGGGTGCTGCAGGGCTCAGAGCAAGAGCAGCTGGCCTCCAAGGGGGACGTGCCGGTGCATGAAGATATGGAAGAGGGGAAACTAATACTGTGTTACACCCCTCCCCCATGGGGGTCTGCTGACCAGCTTGTGACTAGGAGCTTCTAGCAAAACACCTCTTGTCCCCTCCTCCCAGTAAGGCCTGCATGCAAGTTTCTGTTTCCTGTCCATCCTTATTGTCTAAATGCTAATTCCTGGTTTTGGCCCACCCTTTGCCTGCCACTGGTATATAAGGCTCCTCCACTCTTACAAACGCCATTCTCCTTGTGAGAATGGGCCGCTGTCTTTGTCTTCATTTACATCCTTAGCCCTTCACTCGGATCGTTGTGAAGTGTGGTAGCCCCGTAACCACGAACACCGGCTCGCTACAATACTGATCCAAGCACGTAGTGGCATTCTAGTCTGCTTTGTCAGAACTAGATTCCTCACCTCCCTTGCAGCCCCGGGGCCAACAGTATGAGCAGGTGGCAGTGATTCTTAAAAGGGAAGTGTGCTTGGTGTCTCTGGAAAAGGTTTTTGCTTTCCTGGTGAAAGGGATAGGAAAGGCAGTGGGTTGAAGCGTTCTTTCCTGACAGGAGGAGACAGCAGCTCACAAAGCGCAATCGCCAGGGCACGGACAAAACTCTTAGACTATAGAAGCAGCAGTAACTGCCAGGGAGACGAGATTCTTGCAGGGAGCTGCAAGCAAGTTGTGCAGGGGACTTCAGTGATGCAGCTGGGACGGCCTTTCCTGTAATCCGGCTGCTTGAGTCACCCATGCTCCAGACCCTTGCTACTGTAGGTGACGTTAGTGAACTCATTGGCTACCAACCCTTGCTACTGTAAGTGACTTTAGTGAACTCATTGGCTCATCAGCCAGGACCTGGAAATCTTTCTTTTTGGTCTGTGGTGGATACAAGTGGTCTCTCCAGGAAAAAAAAAAATCACACAGCCCCTGCCTTGAAGACATTCCTTTCTCCTAGATCTGTGGCCTCTGTCATACTTCATGAAGTTTCAAGTGAGGACAAACCTCTCTAAGTGAGGATGGAGGAACAGGAAGTGCCTTGGAGACGCACTTGTAGCACCTTCCTGTGTCCTTTCTTGCCCTCAGGGGCATCCTTGCTGACTCCACATCAAGTTAATTATTTTCCTCGTTGCTGTGACAAAGCACTCAATGGAGAAAAGGTTGGATTTGGCGCACAGTTCCGAGGTACAGCCCTGTGGCAGGGAGCCGTGGTAGCAAGAACCGGAGGAGGCAGCCGCCACACTGCATCTGCCATCAAGACTCAGAGAGAGACAAACGCTAGGGCTCAGCTCACGCTCTCCTTTTTATTCAGTCCTCGGCCCTAGGATGGCGCCACTCAAAGTTAAGGTGGGTCTTCCCATCCCCAATAACTGAATCCAGACAATCACTTACGGGTGAGCCAAATGGCTTCTTTCCTAGGCGACTCTAGAACCATTACGTTGACAATTTTAACCATCGCACATGGTTTAACCCTTGTGAGATGAACAGTAGTGGTACCCGGTGAACTACAGTCATGAAGGGATGTGACCAGGCCAGTGACACAGTGTCCTCTTCACAGGAAAGTGTTGGTTCATGAATTGAAAGAGTGACATGTGGCCATTTCTAGTATTGCTAAAGCTCAGGACATGAGCGTGTAGGTATTAGCACACCATGTCCTGCTGTGCCCAGATTCTGAACCCCAAAATCACCAAGAGACCCATTCCAAGTTAACCGCACAGCTGGTAGAGCAAGAAGGACTGGAAGGGGCCGTGAGGCAGGGGATTTATTGGGGAGAGCAAGTAGAGTGTCTAGGGTTACTAGACATTCTCAGGACTGGTCCACTTCTGGGCTTGGACGACCTGTCCTGTGTTGATTGGTCAACTGGTTGCTATGGCCTATAGACCCTCCCAAGGTGGTTGCTATGCTCTGCAGACCCCTGCTACCACAAAGCACATCCAGAGCCCACCTGCTAACTGCTTGTGAGTGTGTGTGTGTGTGTGTGAGTGTGTGTGTGTGAGTGTGTGTGTGTGTGCGCGCGTGTGTGAGCATGCACGTGTGGGTGCCAGAAGTCAAGATCTCTGTGGTTGTGGTTTCTCTTTACCTTAGCTTTTGTTTTGAGACAGGGGTTCTCCCAGAACTGAGAGCTTACTGATTCTGCCATTGGGTGGCCAGAAACCCTCCTATCTCTACTTCCTCACTGCTGGGATTACTGATGTGTATTGCCACGCTCAAGTTTTTTTGTTTGTTTTTTGTTTTAATGTGGGTGCTGGGGGGGCTGAATCCGCATCTTCCTGCTTGCACAGCAAGCATTTTAACTGACTGAGCCATCTCCCAAGTCCTCCCATCTGAAGTGTTCTCCTTGGGGTTGTTTGGAGTGCTGCTCTCTGGAAGTGCTCTGGGACCTTTAGGAGATGGAGCCTAAAGCCGGTCCTCCCTAGCGTCAGACATTTGGTGACTGCCTAGTCCATTCTGCCTGATGCTGCCTGCTCTGCAATGACATGAACAGTGTCCCCCACACAGGCTCACTGGCGCGAATGGAGCTGCTTTCTCTGCCTTCCCCTCTGTGACAGACTTGGGGAGCTGGGCGCCTGAGTAAATCCCGACCCACTAAGTTGTTTCTGTCAGATACTGTGCTCACGCTATATAAAATTAGGGAGTGTGCATACAGGCAGCAATCTCATGAAGCCGAAGAGTCCTTCATCTCTGTTTTGAATCTTATTGGATAAATTGAGGGGCTAGTGGGGGATGCAATGGTAGACCCCTTGCCTAGCATCTGGAAGCGCTGAGTTTGCTCTCAAGCACAGGAAATAAAATGCACTAAAACGCTGAAACAATTTTAAAGTTGAGAATCTGCTGACTGAAAAAGGGGCTTTCTAAATGTTTCTGTTTCCTGTATCCTTTGCATTCATTTGTTAGCTCATTAACCATTTACCCAGAAGTCCCGTAACTGGCACTATGGGTACTCCAAAGGTGAATGACTCATGAATATAAGTCCCAAGGGACTCACACACCGATGGAGATTCAATGACCCAAATCACGAAAGGCCTCTAGGCCCATAGTCCCTTTCTGTGGAGCTCAAGGTCGAAGGAAAAAATTTCTTTTTGCCCACTGCCGTTAATGTGGTAAATGCTTAATGACTGTTTGTCAAATGAACGTGTGAACTAGGGAGGCTAACGTCTGAGAAACACAAGTTCAAAGGAAGACTCTTGTGAGATTAAAAAGCTGGAAGAAGGCAGACAATTCAGTAATGCTCTGAGTTCCTCCTCTTACGGCCACCACCTGCCTCTCTGGTCGTGGAGGAGAGATGTGGACCTCTGATGGTCTAGACTGTGCATCCAGCAGGGTGTTAGAAAAATGCACCTCAGTCCATGCCCCACTCCAGCCAGATGTCCTAGGGGTGAGGAGGCATGAATTACTTGTTCCTGAGACAAAACACCTGGTAAAGCAACTTAAGGAAAGGAAGGTCAATTTGGCTCATTCTACCTTTGTGTGAATGTGGTTCAAAAAAACTGGAAACCTCCAGGAGACCAAGGCAAACGTCTGGTGACCTCGGTTTCTCCAAAGACACAGGGTTGTTCTTGGATGATGCCCCTCGAGGGTGTATCACACAGCAATGAGTCTACTTCACATTATTCATTACAATTGGCTATTGCTGCCATCTGCTTATGTACCTCTGTGGAGAAACTCGTCTTTTGCGCCCTGTAGCTTGCCCCGGTGACTGCAACATGTCACTCGTGTGACTCTTCTTAAGCGCGTGGGAGCCCACAGTGACTCTGTTTCCATCTTGACTTAAGGTCAGAGAGTTCAAACTGGTTCTTGCTCCTCAAGACCAAATAACAGGATGTTTGACTTAGGGTGTGGTTACTAGATGTTTTGAGAATTAAGGCGGTAAATTACGCTTGTTTGTTCCCGTGTCATAGAAAGGAAGTCTTTTGACCTCCTCTTTTGTTTTGGGTATAAGAGGGGTGTGAGAAACTTGAGGCATCTGCAGTATTCACCGAGAGCCTTCCAATTCTGTCTCCGGTCTTTTGTCTCCTTCTTTTCTCAATCCTCACTCCACCTTTCAGGCATCTTCGGTAGGTCGGCAGGTCCCGACAAGGAGTATGAATTATCTGGTGTTTTTAATAAAGTCTGGCTATTCCAGACTAAAGGCCGCCCCATTTATCTCCTCTATTTTCCCAGGTCCCACTGCTTCTGAAGCAGTAAGCATACCATGGTCGAGTCTCAGCAGGAGCAGGAGGCTGGCTGGTCACATTGTATCCACACTCAGGGAGCGCACGGTGAGCAGGAAGTAAACCCAGCAACCCACTTTCTCCAGCAACTGCTCTGAGTCTCACAGCTCCCACACCCTTCTGGAACAGCAGCCCCCGCTGTGCTGCTGCGGCTCGATGGTGGACGTTTCAACCACACACACACAAATGACAAAGACTCTTTATGTTGCATCTATATATGTTTGCACATACACTCACGCACGCACATGTGTAACAATAACAAAGAAAATAGGCCATCAGCTTGAGAGTGGTGGTGGGGTATTGTGAGAGGGGTTTAAGGGAGGGTATCTGGGAGGCATTGGGGGGGAGTAAGGAAGGGGGAAAAGTGTGGTAAAACTATTTCAATTAAAAGTATATTTGAAACTGGGTGGTGATGGTGCACTCCTTTAATCCCAACACTCGGGAGGTAGTGCTGGGACAATCTCTGAGCTCGAGGTCAGCCTTGTTTATGGAGCTAGTTCCAGGACAGCCGTGGCTACACAGAGAAACCCTGTCTCGAATCCTGCCCCCCCAATAAATAAATAAATAAAATGAAAAAGTAAAAAACTATATTAGAAAGCTGGATTGGGATGAATACTGAGCACCTTTGCTGAGAGAGTGCAGCTCGAGGGTCAGGGAGCATGAAAAACTGGCTGTTTCTTCACAACCTTTAGCACATACGGTAGCTCTCAGGGACCGGCAATTCTTTCCCGTCAGGAAAAACAACCAGGGTGTATTTTCTCAAAACCCCAGAGGCCTTTGTGCGCCTTCACGAGAATAAAGTGAGTTGTTCCTACCACTTCGCTCTAGAGACAGCAGCATTTCTGAGGACAGACTGTATTTTAAATATGTTCTTCTGTTCCAAAAAAACATCTGAACTTGTGTGACCTTATTCTGCAAAACTCACCACCATGTGTAGAGGCCTGTGGATGCTTCTTTTGTTTCTCTGAATACGCTTGTTTCTCCCCACTGCCTGTTTTGAGATTGTGCCTCACTATGTAGACCAGGCTGTCCTGGAACTCACTATGAAGACCAGGCTGGCCTGGAACTCACTACGTAGACCAGGCTGTCCTGGAACTCACTATGTAGACCAGGCTGTCCTGGAACTCACTACGTAGACCAGGCTGTCCTGGAACTCACTATGTAGACCAGGCTGTCTTAAGGAGGTCTGCCTGCCTCTGCCTCCTGAGTGCTGAGGTTAAAGTAACACACCACCATGCTCTGCCACTTGCTTTTTGGTGTATGATGTAATGTTAGGGTGACAGGTGAGTGGCTTAATTAGAAGGCTAATGTGTTCAATGCTACAACATAGAATACCTATATGAACTTTTATTAGGGCTGGTTCCTTCAATGTAGGCTTCTGTGTGCCATCTGAGGCCGTAAGAATGTCTCAGTCAGCCAGGCGTTGGTGGCGCACGCCTTTAATCCCAGCACTCGGGAGGCAGAGGTAGGCGGATCTCTGTGAGTTTGAGACCAGCCTGGTCTACAGAGCGAGTTCCAGGACAGCCTCCAAAAGCCACAGAGAAACCCTGTCTCGAAAAACCAAAAAAAAAAAAAAAAAAAAAAAGAATGTCTCAGTCAATGTTCTCTTATTGTGAAGAGACACATGACCATGGCAATTCTTTTTTATTCTAAGACAGGGTTCCTCTGTGTAGCTTTGGAGCCTGTCCTGGAACTCTCTCTGTAAACCAGGCTGATCTCAAACTCCCGAGTGCTGGGACTAAAGGTGTGAGCTGCCACCACCGCCCAGGGGAAGATTCTTATGAAGGAACACATGTATTGGGGCTGACTTACAGATTCAGAGGTTTATCATCATGGTGGGAAGTCGGGCGGCAGGCAGGCAGACGTGGTGCTGGAGAAGGAGCTGGGAGCATTTGAAACCTCAGAGCCCACCCCAAGTGACACTTCCTCCAACAAGGACACGGCTACTCCAACAATGCCACACCTCCTAATAGGGCCACTCCCTGTGGGCCAAACATTCAAACCCAGGAGCCATCCCTATACGAACCACCACACAGAGTCTTTATGATGAGCTGGTTTGTGGCATCCATGTCACCCTGAGATCCATGTCACACTGGGTCCTCACGGAGTCCAACCTTATTGGGAGGAAGAACTATGAGGCTTAGTATGTTTCTCCTTTGAGCTCTGATGATCCAAAGTGCCTAAATTACCTGATCCCAAGTGTCTAAACTAAAATCTGTTTTCAGTCTCTAAAGTCAGAAGGGATGGCTGATAAATGCAAGCCTTAGTCCTTGAGTAGCCTGCAGGTACCTAAGGAGTGTCCACATTGGGTTGGGTTTGAGACAGCTTGGTGAATTGAGCAAATGTCTCCATGTTTGTAAACTTGGGCTCCTCAGTCTTTCAATTGAGTGGTATGGAGTCCACAAAGCTGTCATGAAATGTAAGTCAGTCACTAACAGTGGAATGCCAGTGTTGCCCAAAGTTGCCTACCTGTGACAACACAACATTAAAGCAACTCCATGAGGACATACCACTACCATGATATCCCACTTTTTTCCGTCGGCAACTGTGACTACCCACACCCCTCAAGACCGCGTCTGTTGACATTTCTTAAGAAAAAGAGGGTGGGGAAGGTTATTTGACCTTTGCCTGAGATCTCAGCCAGTTACTCATGAACCTCCCTGCAACTGCAGGCATTTCTCAAGGTGACAGGTGGTGGCCAGAGTATAGAATATATAGGAAGTCCATACCAAGGGGGCTCTGCCTATCTCCCCATGGGGATTTCATCGTTCATTTTGATGACTATTCCTGGTTACCAACTAGACTACGTCTAGAATTAACTAAGACTCAAAAATGGAGGGCACACCTGTGAGGGATTTTTGCTTAATTAGAAGTGGGAAGATCCACTTTTTTTTTTGGTAAAACAGGGTTTCTCTGTGTAACAGGCCTGCCTGTTCTTCAACTATCTCTGTAGTCTGTAGACCAGGCTGGCCTCCAACTCACAAAGATCTGCCTGCCTGCCTCTGCCTCCCTAGTGCTGGGATTAAAGGAGAGCTTCACCACTGCCCAGTTGGAAAGATCCACTTCTAATCTGGAGTTTAAAGGTGGGAAGCTACACCTTTAACCCAGGTCCTCTGAGCTGTGGAAACCCACCTCTAGTCTGGGCCACAGCTTCTGCTGGAAGCCTATATGAGGACATGGGAGAAGGAAGCTTGTGCTCTTTGCCTGCCTGATCTCACCTTACTAGCAAGTCCATTCCTTCACTAGGGTTAGAGCCCACTTTAGAAGTCCAGATTTATATATGATGAACCCTACATATGTACCTGCCTATAGGATCAATATCTATGTTTATATGTCTGTATATCTATATCTAGAGAGAGACTCATTTTCTGAATTTTGTTGTTACTCTAGAGAGCCCTCACTAACACATTCATACCCAGGTCAGACATTTTGGTGATGTGACTGCTTGGTGTCCTGCATCTTCCTGTAAGTAACCCCTCATCCATGCTCTGTAAATAAGCCAAATTGGGCAAATTAGATGGTGGCAGAATAGCTCCTTTGGCCTGCTACTGAGGGCCTGTCTGGGGTGAGCAGATGCTTGTTCATGTCTTCTTAGGAAAAGTTCATGGAACACCACTTGCTAGCTTTGTATACATATTCACTTATCCTCATCTTTTAAGGCACAAAATCACAAAGCAATATGTCAAATACTCCACACGTCATCTCGGCCCAGACCCCATCTGTGCAGAGTTGCAGAGGTCAAAGTCAGTGTGGTTAGATGTTCTCATCACTATCCTGGTGTCTCAGTGTCTTGAGTTTGAGACATGATTATAAATATCTGGCAGCATATATTTGTCAAGGAAATAACTTGGACACACACTTTTCAGTCAGTTGATTGGGATCCTTTGCTTGTGCTCCAGCCCCAGAAGGAGCCTTCTGTATGCTTCCTAAGGACACCCCGGGTCTGACTCTAGGCCATTGTAAGCAGCCCATAACCAACCAAAGATACAGGCAAAGAATCAGTGTTGGAGAAGGTACCAAACCTCAGTGTTGGGATAGCTGCTGGCTTTTGTTTGTTTATTTGTTGAACTTAGAGCACCTTGCTGGCAAAAAAAAAAAAAAAAAAAGCCTCCTTGGAATATTCTTCCGTGTAAGCTCTGTTTACAGCCTACTATCTGAATGGCCAGTACAAGAATTACGATTCCAGTCTCATTAGTTATGTTATTACCTTGCATAGAGAATTACGATTCCAATCTCATTAATTATGTTATTACTTGCATAGAGAAAAGACCGGGTCTAGAGAGACGGCTCAGCAGTTGCAGAGGACCTGAGTGCAGTCCCAGCACCCACACTGGGCACCTCACAGAACTTCTTGTAACACCAGTTCTAGGGAGTGCAATGCCCTCTTTTTGGTCTCTGTAGGTACTGCATGCATGTGGTGCACATAAATTCAACAAGCACACACATACACTTAAATTAAAATATATATTATATATGTATATATATTAAAGACAAGAAATGTGAGTGTCCCACAACAGGGAAACGATCCAGGGAATTGAAGTACAGTTTCACAATGACCTTTAGTAGCTATTAAAGGAGGAAATGCACAAAAACGATGAGGAAAACAAAAAGAGGCAAAGATGAGAAACAAATAAAGACAGCGAAGGAATAGGAGTTGGCACGGATAGAAGCGAGGGCCGGCGAGACGGGAAAGAAGTAAAGACAGAGCGAGAAGAGGGGTGGAGGGGCAGGGGACAGCGCGGAAAAGATCCCGATTGAGATGAAGATGAGGAGAGGAGAGAGGCCAAGGAGAGGGAAAGAAGCCACGCTGCCCACGCGCTAGCCTTGGTGTGGCCAGGCCGGGGAGGGAGGTGCCTTTGACAGTGGCTCTGTCTATGCTCTCAGCTGACACCGAGAGCAGCCTTTATTAATACGAGACTTGGCTCCAGCCAGCCTTAATGGACCCTGGGACTCTGAGATGAAAGGGCACTGGGCGGCTGCCGTGGTGGATGCCAGGCTGTGCTCAGATAAATGGCCTCATGCCAGACTAATCCAGGGTCTGAGTGGGGCCAAGGAGGTCTGAAGGCTGCTGAGCGATAAGGGCTCACTTGTTTGAAGCAATCTGTCCCAGTCTCTCTCCCCCACTGCTCTCTCCTCTGCAGAACCCAACTAGTAGTCCTGCTCTATCACAGTCAGAGGGAAGCAGCCTGGGACAGCGGTGTCACTCGGTCCTTTGCATTCTCTTCGTTGGTGTCTGAACCTTGCCTGGAACCATCTCTCTCTCGGAAAAGCTCACAGTGTGGTTAAGCAGTGACAGCCAAGTATGCTACTCATAGGCTAAACTGTGTCCTTAAAGAGAGAAGTACTGCATATCCTTCGGGCGTCAGGGATTCAGTGAAGACTCCCTGAATGGATGGATAGTGGATGGGTTATTGGTGGATGGATGGATGGATGGTGAATGAGCTATTGATTTATGATGGATGAATGGATAGTGAATGAGTCATTGATGGATGGATGGAGAATGGGTTATTAATGGATGATGGATGGTGAGTGGGTGGGTTATTGATGGATGGATGGGTTATTGATAGATGATGGATGAATGATAGATGGGTTATTGATGGATGGATGGGTTATTGATAGGTGATTAATGAATGATAGATGGGTTATTAATGGATGGATGGGTTATTGATAGATGATGGATGAATGATAGATGGGTTATTGATGGATGATGGATGGATTAATGGGTTGATGAATAACAGATACTGTGAAATTCATGTTCTACTGACACAAGGCAGAAGGGTTAGTGAGGGATCGGTTCTAGCTAAGAAACTTTCTTTGGTGGATGTCTGGTTTTATTTCACTACAGAGAAAAGGAAATACTCCTGAGAGAAGTGACTCTGCTGCTACTGGTGCCTGGAAACTTAGTGTGGGAGTAGCCATGTCATCTAGCTTTGCAGATGACTTCCAGTCACGTCATCCCTCTTGTGCCCCCTCCCTCCCCAGGGCAGCCAGTGGTGTGAGCGTGGGTATCTACGTTGGTAGAGGAGGAAGGCACTGAAGTCGAGCAGGTTCCCTGTAGTACCAAGTGGGGCATTCAGCCCACATCTGGAAAGCAAGACTTCTGATGGCAGCTCTATTCCCCTCCGCCGTCCTTGTGGCTAGGTGGCAACTAACACAGGGGCTTTGAGGTGGCTGGTGTTTCAGAGGGAAAACCGATGGCTGGTGGGTGAGGGAGCTGTGTCCCAGCTCTAAGGCAGCAGCTCTATGTAAATCATCTCCTCTAATGGTCACAACTACCTTGCAAAAAGGGACTTTCTTTCCAGTGCTGGGCGGCTGAGCATGCTAGGTAAGAGCCACATTTTCAGCCCATAAGAGGGGCCTTTGCTGTTAAGGAAACAGGCGCAGACCAATCAGACGCGTTTGTCCCAGAGCGGCAGATCAATCAGACACGTGTGTCCCCAGTCAGAGCGGCAGACTGCAGAGCTGTGGGTCCTTGCACTGCTCTGGTTGCCATCTGGGGCCATTTTTGGAGAGAGCAGGAGAGGGTGGCAGCTTCAGAATGTTCTAGCCAGTTGCAGCCGCAATGTGATGGGAGTGGAAGCGCCCCAAGACCCCATGTTCTTGTGCTCAAAGAGAAAAGAGGCCATTGCCGCGCAGGAGTTTGCGTTAGAGACCCAGACTCCTGATGCAGGTCTGCTTAACAGTCTAGTAAAAATACTAATGAATTTCCAAGAACGACTTGATGCTCCTGGGTTTGGGGGGCTACAGTCAGGGCGCGGGTCTGGCAGTCTTGAGCTTAACTCCAGTGCTGCTCAGAACTTGGGAGGGGAGGGAAGGAGGACAGCGGACAGAACCAAGAGCAGGCACCACACCCATGTCAGGAGATGGGGTGCAGGCCCAGCCTGGTTACGTTATACACTGTTCAGGAGGGCCAGGCGGGTTGGTTAATTTGGCTGCCCCTCATTTTCCACATGGGGCAGCCGGACAGTGACATGGGTCCCAGGCTTCTCATCTGAGCCATTCTCCCGAGTCTGCCTGCTCACTGCTAGTCACTCGGAGGACTCATGCCCCACTGAGACGGTGGATTTTGCATACCAAGGTTGGGGCATCCCACTTTTTGGCCCGATGCTGCCTGTTGTGAAGGCATTCAAGGGTATGGTCTACATTCACAATCGGCTCAGTTTTGATAAACCCGTCTGATGTGACAGGCTGCACCCAGTCACACACGCCTGTGTTCTTCATCTGCTTACGGTTCTTCCAGTTCCTGCGGTGTCTGTGCCCAGCGGAGCTGCGGCTGCGGCCGCCTTTTCCCAGCCCCAGCCAGGACGGGAAGACCTGGCCACTGGCTCTCCATCACTCCGCTCCTTCTGACCAGTTGGCCCTATTGGTCTCTAGAAGCCATCTGCCTTTAAAGTCCTTGTACTGGGACATGGCCAGTGGTGAAGAGGACATCACAGTTCTATACATACACATACCAAGCTCAGGCACATCCAGTTTTATAAAGGAAATATTGCTAGATGTAAAGCTGCAGACTAACGCACCTCTAGAACATTCCATCCAAACATTAAAAATATACATTTTTTTCCTCAGCAGCTCATGGGATAATTTCTAAAACACCAAGTATTAGGACGCAAAGCAAACCTCAACAAATATAGGAATACTGAAATAATAGTCCATAGTCTATCAGACCACTATAAAAACCTTTAATCCACTAAACTGGAAAATCTAAAAGATGTGGACAAATTTCTAGACACATATGACTTATCAAATGTAAGACAAAATGAAATAAGTAATTTAAAAAGATCAAGAACTAGGGATGAGATTGAAGTAACAATAGTCTTCCAAGAAAAGGAAGTCCGGGTCCAGATGGATTCACACAGAGTTCTTCACCAGTCACAGAAACTAGCACCAACACTAATCAAATGATCCCACTAAGGAAAGGAAGGAAGGTTTCCAAACGATTCTTATGAAGCCAGCATTCCCAGGGCTCCAAAACTAGAAGACGACCCAGGAGCAGCAATAATAACCCCAGAACAGTCTCCCTGATGAGCATGCACAGCATTCTCAGAGTCACACCGAATTTAAGACCATGTAAAAAAAGACAAGTGTGAGCCAGGCATTGGTGGCACATGCCTTTAATCCCAGTACTCGGGAGGCAGAGACAGGTGGATCTTTGTGAGTTCAAGGCCAGCCTGGTCTACAGAGCAAGTTCCAGGACAGCCTCCAAAACAATACAGAGAAACCGTGTCTTGAAAAATCAACCAACCAAACAACAACAACAACAACAACAAAAAAAAGAGACAAAAAAGACTATTGTGGTTCTGAGACTTGGTTTTGCTCACTGGGCTTTTCTTGTCTTTTCTTTTTTATTTTTCTGAGACAGGATTTCTTTGTGGCTTTGGAGGCTGTCCTGGAACTTGCTCTCGTAGACCAGGCTGGTCTTGAACTCACAGAGATCCACCTGCCTCTGCCTCCCGAGTGCTGGGATTAAAGGCGAGCACCACCAATGCCCAGCTACTCACTGGGATTTTCCTTCTCTGCCTCAGCGTGAGTTTTCCTTAGTTTTCTTCTACGTCTCTGCTCAGTTCAGTTTTCATATCCAGCACTGTCTTTGTCGTTTCCCTCAGCCATTTTTGTGGGCTTTCCTGGGCTTCAGTCATTTGTCCTGATCCTCTTTAAGTGATTCGGGCTTTACTTTTTCCCGTCTTTCTATTCTTTGAACACGACCGTGCTTGTAATTGTTCTTTTGAGTGCTGTGTCTATTTCATGTAAGTTTCTCTCTTTAGGGGACATTGCCATGGAGTTGGTGACTTGAGGGGGACAGAAGTCTGTGGTCATGACTGCCGCGCCCGCTGCGCAGCCTGTGTCCGAGAATGGGCGGAGGGTGTCGGGGATTGACAACACAGAGACTCGCTCAAGGATGTAAAGAAAACTTTAAGCAGGCCCCAAAAAGGCTCAAGAAAACTTCCCAAGAAAGGCCGACCTCCAGAAAAGCTTCTGCTCTCTCCTTAATTCTCGCTGGTTCTGCTCTGACACCAGAAACTGATTTGGGTGGGTCAGAAGAGGTGGTTAGTCTTTGGAAAAGGTCAAGGTCAGGGCATTCCCGTGGGCATGCCCTTTTCAGGAACTTATTGCCCCGGGCATTGTATTGTTTTTAGTAAACATGTTTTTAGTAAACATTGTCTTACAGCTGCCTACTCCCAGGCTGATGGGGAAGTGGGTCTCTGCATGTCCCCACACATGACATCCATCACAATGTATCTGTCAGCCAACATATGTTGTTTTTCTTTATTTGTAGCTTCCCAGACGCCATGTGAATTTAATACCTGAAATTTCCACCAGGTGGCGCTCCAAGGTTACCAAGAGCAGGTTATACTTGCTGAAGAGTTACCAGGGGCAGTGTGTGCCTTGGTGTAAAGGAGGATGGGGCAGAGCATATATGTGCGTATGTGTACACACACACACACACACACACACACACACATATACATACATACATATATTTTTAAAATTAAAAATAGATTTTTTTCGCACAATGTATTCTGATTGCAGTTTCCTTCTCCCAACTCCTCTCATCCTCCCCACCGCTCCAAACCCACTTCTTTCTTCCTCTTACCTGGCAGAGGCAATACCATGGTCATGAAGGTGGTTTTCCCAGGGCGATGCTCGTCCATCGCACCGCAGATGTGCTGGACCTTGTGATTTCCCCAAATCTGGGAAACTCAACTGTATAATTTGTGATCGTGGGGGGCTGTGTTCACTCTCTCCCCTGAAGAAAAGCAAAAAGAAAACAAACAGGCATCTAAAAATAATTGCAATAAAACAGAATACAATAAAAACAAACACAACAGATTCAGACAAACCAAAGAAGCAGAAGAAAGCGTCAAAGAAAAGGTACAAGAAACATACAGGCGCAGAGGTATACTCATTTGCACACACAGAAACCCCATAAAAATGCAAACCTGGAAACCATATTAATAAAGCAAATGACCTGTAAGGTTTAAATAGAAAAAACAAGCCTAGCCTAAGCATTATGGCACACATGCTTCCAAAAACAGCACTCAGTTTGTGTTGTGTTGGCCACCGACGGCTGGGCACGGGGGGGGGCTGCCCTAAATGTGGTTTGTAAATCTAGTGATACTTCACTGGAGGAAACGAATGTTCCCTTTGCTAGCGGGTATCAGTTGGAGATAGCATCTGGGTCGGAGATGAGGGCCTGTGTCCACCTCCCCTTCCAGGGCTGGGACCCCATGTGGCAAAGGGCTGTGCAGGCTGCCGGTCTCCGTGAGCTCATGTGTCCTGCTCTGTCTAGAGGGCATTGTTTCCTTGGTGTCCCCCATGGCCTCTGGCTCTGACAACCTTTCCTTCTCTTCTGCGGGGTTCCCTGAGCCCTGAGAGGAGGGATTTGATGGAGACATCCATTTAGGCCTCTCGTTCTCTGCACGTTGTCCAGCTTGGCTGTCTGTGTTTGTCCCCGTCTCCTGCAGGGGGAAGCTGCTCTGGTGATGGCTGAGCAAGACCACAGAGCTACGGGTATAGGAGAATGTCTCTAGGAGTCATTCTATTGCTGTGTTCCTTTAGCGAACAGTAGCATTTGCCTTTCCTCTTTCACGGCCTATTGCTGAAGGCAGTGCCCACAAAACTCACTAAACACGGCGAAGCCAAGCTGGCACCTAGATGAAACCTTCACCTCTGGTGTTCAAGGTGCTGGACGGCACCATCCACGGTGGTGACCTGCCTGCAAGACACACTTGCACTAGCGCAAAAGCTGGGGGAGTAGCCAGCCACTCTCTGACCGAATTTAAGGTCCACTCCACGAGATGGAAACCACGCCCCAAAACCCCCGAGACTGTCAATGCCTTCCTCCTCCCTCCTCCCACCCCGTCTTCTTCACCACCCCTCCTCTGGTCATTCACAGGCAGCTTGATTGACTTTGGAGTCACCTAGGTCTCTGGGTGTCTGTGAGGGCATTTCCAGGGGGGTTGACTAAAGAAGGGAGACGGGCCCTGAATACGGGTGGTACCATCCCGTGGGGAGATGTCTTGCATTACATGAAAAGAAGGAGAAGCAGGCTGAGTGCCAGCCTTCCCTGCTTTCTGCTTCCTGATCTACCAGGATCCGAGGAAACCACTGTTCACAGACAGCCATCAGCCTTCCCCACGGTGTGGACAGCATGCTTCGAAACTGGGCCAAAATTAACCTTCTCCCCCACCTTGCTTCTTGTTGGGTATGTTGTCACAGCCATGAGCAAAGTGCCAATGCTCTCCCTGTCAGGAGTTAAACTTCACAGGTGAGGTCCAGGCGTGGAGGCCTCTCACCTTCCCAACACCGCATCGGGCTGCCTGTCTCCTCCGCCTGTCTTCTGCTCCGCCCCCGTGATGCTAGGTTTGTGTTTCAGCTGCCATGACTCCTATCCCTCGTCCATCCACATGTCATTTACTCAGAGGGACTTAAGGTGGAAGGGAGGCACAGTTGGCAGGAGCTGGAGCCCCCGGTGGAGTCAAGCCTGTGTGTTAGGACGCCCCTCTCTGAGCACTGGGGTGGATGCTGACTCCCCGTCTCTGAGCACTGGGGTGGATGCTGACTCCCGTCTCTGAGCACTGGGGTGGATGCTGACTCCCCATCTCTGAGCACTGGGGTGGATGCTGACTCCCGCCTCTGAGCACTGGGGTGGATGCTGACTCCCCGTCTCTGAGCACTGGGGTGGATGCTGACTCCCCGTCTCTGAGCACTGGGGTGGATGCTGACTCCCCATCTCTGAGCACTGGGGTGGATGCTGACTCCCCGTCTCTGAGCACTGGGGTGGATGCTGACTCCCCGTCTCTGAGCACTGGGGTGGATGCTGACTCCCGCCTCTGAGCACTGGGGTGGATGCTGACTCCCGTCTCTGAGCACTGGGGTGGATGCTGACTCCCCGTCTCTGAGCACTGGGGTGGATGCTGACTCCCGCCTCTGAGCACTGGGGTGGATGCTGACTCCCCGTCTCTGAGCACTGGGGTGGATGCTAACTCCTCCTGAGCACTGGGGTGGATGCTGACTCCCGTCTCTGAGCACTGGGGTGGATGCTGACTCCCTGTCTCTGAGCACTGGGGTGGATGGTAACTCCTCCTGAGCACTGGGGTGGATGCTGACTCCTGCCTCTGAGCACTGGGGTGGATGCTGACTCCCGCCTCTGAGCACTGGGGTAGATGCTGACTCCTGCCTCTGAGCACTGGGGTGGATGCTGACTCCCCGTCTCTGAGCACTGGGGTGGATGCTGATTCCTGTCTCTGAGCACTGGGGTGGATGCTGACTCCCCGTCTCTGAGCACTGGGGTGGATGCTGACTCCCCGTCTCTGAGCACTGGGGTGGATGCTGACTCCTGCCTCTGAGCACTGGGGTGGATGCTGACTCCCCCTCTCTGAGCACTGGGGTGGATGCTGACTCCCGTCTCTGAGCACTGGGGTGGATGCTGACTCCCCGTCTCTGAGCACTGGGGTGGATGCTGACTCCTGCCTCTGAGCACTGGGGTGGATGCTGACTCCCCGTCTCTGAGCACTGGGGTGGATGCTGAATCCTCCTGAGCACCGAGGCGGATGTTTGCCATGCTGCTCTTTTATGTGCATCCGGTCTGGGAGCCAGAGCATCTCAGTGGGCTGACCCCCAGGATGACCGGGTCTGGATGTGACAGCGAGCTAAGACCAGTCACTGCATCACTTCTGCCTGCTTCCTCTTGGACAGTGTCCCTTGCTGTCCCGCTCCACCTAGAGACAGAGAAACTGCCTCAGCAGGGCAGAGAAAGGAGGCACATCTGTGATCAAAGCCAGCCCGGGTCACGTAGACGAAGAAAGAAAGCATACTGCTTTACTATGAAGAATTTCAAGCGGAACAGGCACCGTGCAAGGCAGCATGGTAGCTTCTCTAAAAACTAAAAACAGAATCACAGCATGATCTTCCAAGCCAGCTCCTGGATACACAACCCAGGGATTACGAGCAGGGTCTCAAAGCCGTTAGTACATCATGTTGGTTGCAGCTGCGCTGCAGAAGCCATGCCGGTGTCATTAACACTCACTAGACTTTGGAGTGGACCGACTTTAGCTGAAGCTAAATGCGTCCCTGTGCCTTACACATTAAGGGAACGAGTGTCTTGGAAACAGTGGCAGGAGCGGAGAGTATGAAAGGAAATGGGTAAATAATGCAAGACACCGAACGCATCAGTTGTCCCGAGGAGGGGCGAGATGGAAGCTAGATGCCCATGTGAGAAAGAGAGGAAGCTCGGGCTCCAGACAGGAGGCCCAAGGAAGGGCTCAGAGGAGGGAGGGAAACCTCAGGATGAGAGCATTGAGGGCAGGGGCCCAGGCATCAGTGTGAAGATCCTAGGGCGGCTGGGTGCGGGCAGGGCCAGAGCCGAGAACGCGGGAGAGCACTGGGTTTTGTGTGCACTGTTTCGCGGAGCCCGGGGGGGGGGGGCATAGAGAGTGGCACACTCCCTCACTCTGGTGCCTGTTGGGTTAGACTGTGAGAGCTGAGGGCTGAGGGCTGAGGGCTGAGGCTTTCAGGGGGAGACAGCCATGGGGGGACCGGCAGTGGGCAGCGATGGAGGACGGTGAGGTTCGCGGGGATTATGGGGACAGAGATGGTGAGAATGGCTTGGACATGAGGCGTGAGCGGAACTGGAGTCCAGAGTGGACCCAGGTTGTGGGCCGAGCACGTGGAGGGTAGAGTTAGCCCTTGGGGGTGGGGACAGGAGGGCAGTAGTCTTAATTCCTCTTCCTCCTTTCCCTCCCCTTCTCCCTGCTCGTTCTCGCTTCTCTCCCCTCCTCTCCTCTCCCCTCCTCTCCTCTCCCCTCCTCTCCCCTTCCCTCCCCACGCCTTCCCCTAGAAAGGCTTAGGTCCACTGGCCCTTAGAGGAGGCTCCACATGGGAACCTTCAACCTGCTTCTTCAGACAGGAGCAGACAGAGCAGAAAGGCCTGGCCCTGAGCTGGGCGAGCAGGGGTGTGTGAGGGGGTGTCTGGGGAGGGATGCTCCCTCTGCTACAGTGCTGCTGGTGTATGTGTGGCCTCCGTAACAGCACCCCCCAGAAGTTCTTTATTCACCTGTAAAATGGGTGCAGTAATTTTGACCCACCTCAGAGGCTGGCCGGTGTAATTACTGGTTAGAGCATTGAGAAGGCAGATAAAAGGCTGGCGTAAACACAGCCCATCATTACCACGGATGGCGTTTCCCTTTGAACAGCCTGGAGACTGCCCTTTTGACTGAGGTCACTTAATTGGGTCTGAGTTCCTTCAGCAGACAAGAATATTACAGCCTCCAGGCTGGCCACATAGTCTTCAAAGTTTGGCCCCCTAAAAGTGATTGAACCTCGAAGTCACTGGCTTTTGACCACCCCAATGATCTCTCTAGAAAAGCCAGTTTTTCATGCTATCAATAACCTGCTTAATCCAAACCCTTTCAACAGGTGTGAAGAGAAGGGAGGAAATTCCTCTTTGTTTTTAATTGACTAAGCCTTCCTTTTCCTAGATCACAGGGGAAACCCAGGCGTCTACGGGCCAGCGAGGGTGTCGCCACAGGGATATTATGGGGCAGTGTGGAGACTGTTGGGCCTTGGGGCTCCTGTCCCTGAGACAGCACTTGCTTTGGGGTTCCCACTCAGAAGCCCTGCCCTTCGGGAGGGCTTGTTTCATGCAGGACATGGCCCACCCACCCTCCCCCTCCCCCACAGGCTGTGGTCCAGCCACCCGCTTCTCCCTTGGCTGTCCCAGCCCAGATGATCCTCTCCACCCTCTTCTTG